TGAATTGTTTGATTTTTAGTTTTGGTGAATGGTTCCCCCTTAGGCTTTTTCCTAGCTCGAGAGTGTTGAGGCAATGAGACCCTCCCCTTATTTTTTCATCATTATTATGGAGGCTTTGACCAAGCTGGAGTCTCTCTTTATAAAAGCTTGGAAGGAAGCACATGTATGCATAATGTGGAGTTTGTGGCGGGGAAAAAAATATATACTTTTGAAAAGTTAGAGTGGCCAATACATAGATTAAAGTCGACTTTTAATCCATTGTTTTCATTTTTGACTAGAATGAAACTTTATTTAATCTTCTTTTTCACTCATAGGGCCTGTTTGGTGCAGCTTATTATAAACTAAAAACTAATAATCAAAAAGGAGAAGCCAAGAGCACCCCTCTCCCAACTTCCAGATAATTAGCTTTTTTCAGCTTATTTAAAATATTTATGCCTAATAAGCTATAAACAGAAGTTGCACCAAATAGTTTGGCACTGACTTCTAGAATAAAATAAGCTATGAGCAACTCACATGAGCTACACCAAACAACCCCATAAATTTTTTAGGAAACTTTCTTTTCATGAAGGCTTATAGATACACCTAGTATAAAGAGATTGCACTTCTTTCAGCTTTTTTGAATGCAAGATACTTTAGTTGTCAAAAAATATTTGGTTTCAATTTTCTAAAAACTGAGTTTTTTGTTTTTCGTGTTTTTTTTTTTAGTGAATATTTTTAAAATTTTAAGCATGCTTTTATTTTTTAGATGCACCTTACTTAGATGTATCTAAAAAATAAAATATTTGTGAAAAATTATTTTAAAAAAATTAATAAGTACACAAAAAACTTAGAAAATATGAGGAAGAAGAACTCCGAAAATATGAGGAAGAAGGAATATATTTCTGTTATATTCAAAACTTCTTATTTTACAAGACCAAATGACACTCCTTATATAGGAGATATTACAAACATCATTATAACCCATTATATGCCACTTACATATTATATATTACCACTATCTACCACTATCATATTATATACATGCCACTATCTACCACCAACACCACTATCATATTATATATTACCACTATCTACCACTATCATATTATATACATGCCACTATCTACCACCAACACCAAAATATATTCCTTCTTCCTCATATTTTCGGAGTTCTTCTTCCTCATATTTTCTAAGTTGGTATCAGAGCAACAAAAAACACAGCAGCCCTAAAACCGTCATAGCCATGTCGGAAGTCACGTCCGAAACCACTTCAACCCCTGCCGCTGCCATTCCGGTGAAAACGTCAAACTCTCACTCTGTCCAAATCACCACCATCCGCCTAAATGGTGATAATTTTCTCCGCTGGTCACAATCTGTCCAGATGTATATCCGTGGGCAAGGAAAGATCGGTTACATCACTGGTGACAAGAAGGCTCCTGCTGTTAATGATCCGCTGTTCGACAGTTGGGACGCTGAAAACTCCATGGTTATGACATGGTTGGTCAATTCCACGGAGGAGGATATAAGCTCTAATTACATGTGCTATACTACTGCACAAGAATTGTGGGATAATGTTAGTCAGATATATTCTGACCTAGGAAATCAATCTCAAGTTTTCGAATTAACTTTGAAGTTGGGAGAGATTCGTCAAGGAGATGATTCCGTCACCAAATATTTCAATTCGTTGAAAAGGTTGTGGCAGGATCTTAACATCTTCAACACATACGAATGGAAATCGGTTGACGACTGCAACCACCACAAGAAAACTGTGGAAGACAGCCGTATTTACAAGTTTCTTGCCGGCCTCAACATTGAGTTCGATGAAGTGCGAGGAAGAATTATTGGCAGACCTCCTCTCCCATCCATTGGCGAAGTATTTGCCGAAGTCAGAAGGGAAGAGAACCGAAGGAGCGTCATGCTTAAGAAAAAAGGTAATGGTGAATCAATTGAAATTTCTGCTTTAATTAGCGATGCTGCGGCCAACAAGGCTGCAAATTACCAGCGCAGGTTTGATGATAAGCCACGGGTCTGGTGTGATTTTTGCAACAAACCTCGCCATACACGCGAAACGTGTTGGAAGATCCATGGCAAACCTGTCAACTGGAAAAGCAGCAAACAAGGAGAGAAGAATCGTGGCTTTCCTACCGCTAATGAAGCCGATTCAGGTCCCTTCAACAAAGAGCAGATTGATCAACTCTTAAAGCTGATAAAATCCAACTCCTCAACCGGTACTCCTAGTGTTTTGTTGGCACAAACATGACCCCTAGGGTTAGTATTTTCGGCTCCTAGGGTAGAGAAAAAAAAGCAAACAGCAGTCCCAAGAGCAGATTTGAAAAACAGTCCCTAAAAACATGAAATAATTTCAAAAATCGAAAACTTACATCAAGGATGATGAAAAAATTCCACAAAAATCACCATAAATCTCAGGAGGCAATTTTGAGTCTAGGGGTGAAGGGCCCGTCCGTATAGTGCTTATGTCATCGTACGGCTGATGACATCAGCACGTCTCGGTCACCTTAGATCAATCTTTAGAATCTGTAGAACCCTTTCTAATGAAGAAGAGATGGCTCTGATACCAAGTGAGAATGTAAAATGGAGAAATTAGGGTTGAAAGTTAGGAGGAAGAAGAAGAAGAGAGAACTTTTGTATATATTGAAAACCAATTTATTCCTCAACTTTACATCACTCAAATATATATAAAAAACCTAAAGTAGCAATATGACCATCGTACCATTAACTTAAGTAAATATTAACAAGAGAACAAAAATAACTAAAAGAACTATTCTAACACTCCCCCTCAAGTTGGAGCATAGAGATCGAACATGCCCAGCTTGGCAGACAAACGAAGAAATGAAGGCCGAGCCAAAGGTTTGGTGAGAATATCACCCAATTGATCCTCAGAACGAACATAAGGAGTCACCAGTTGCTTGCGGAGTAAGAGATCACGAATAAAATGGCAATCAACTTCGATATGTTTGGTGCGTTCATGAAACACAGGGTTATTGGCAATGAAGATAGCAGCCTGATTGTCACAAAACATGCGCATAGGAGTGGAAACAGAAATGCCAAAATCTTGGAGAAGAGACTGAACCCAGAGCATCTCAGAAGCAGTATGAGCCATGGCGCGATATTCAGCCTCGGCATTAGAACAAGCAACAACGATCTGTTTCTTGCTCCGCCAAGTAACAAGATTACTGCTGGAAATTTGTGTTAATGCATATAATAAGATAGTGGCATATGATAGTGGTGTTGGTGGTAGATAGTGGCTTGTATAGAATATGATAGTGGTGTTGGTTGTAGATAGTGGCATGTATAGAATATGATTGTGGTGTTGGTGGTAGATAGTGGCATGTATATAGTATGATAGTGGTAGATAGTGGTAATATATAATATGTAAGTGGCATATAATGGGTTATAATGATGTTTGTAATATCTCCTATATAAGGAGTGTCATTTGGTCTTGTAAAATAAGAAATTTTGAATATAACAGAAATATATTCCTTCTTCCTCATATTTTCGGAGTTCTTCTTCCTCATATTTTCTAAGTAAAAATATGAAAAATATACTGAATTTTTGCTTCTTTTTTTTTTTAAGATTTTTGGTATTTAGTGAATTTTTTAAAGATTTTTTTCATTTTTTTTTTAAGATTTTTGGTATTTAGTGAATTTTTTAAAGATTTTTTTCATGAAAATTATACTTTTTAAGTGTATTTATGTTAGGCGTGTCTAAAATTTTTTAAAAAATATACTTAAAATATTAAAAAAATTCAGTAAAAACAAAAAAATACAAAAAACGCGAAAGTAGAATTTTCTAAAAAGTGTTTTCAAAAAACTGGAAACAAACATGGTGAATACAGTTAGATTGGTTTTTAAACATTTAACTTAATTGGAAAGACCAAAACTACGTTAATACAAGTTCTCCTGATTCAACAGCTCTGTAGATAGGAGTTACTGGAATATGCACACCTAAATTTCTGTTGGCCTACTCAGTCTTCCAGAGGAAGGCACATATTTCTCCAAAATTAAGCAAGAGACAACACCCCATGTCCTTCCCTTTCAAAATAAATACCCCTTCTGTCATGTAAAAGTAGAAACCTAAATTCATGATCCTATATTTGTGAATTTATGAAATGGTCCAATACATCCCCAAAGGCAGCAATGATTGGGTTTACCTATGACATAATAATGCCCCTGACATACGTTAAATGACCAAAAGATGTAATGAAATCGCTCTGATCGTCAAAGAACCAAATTTCGCTACAGCACATATTCTGTGCAGTGAAGTTTAACCTATTTAGGAAATCATACAACTAAACAGTTTGTCATTATATACTTCTTTTGAATGTTGAGCAAATAATGCAGTATGGAACTATTTACACAAACTTGCATCAAACTACAGCAAAAGGCCCTTCCATTGGCAATGAAGTACTAAAATTTCAAATCCAAAAAAATTATGTAAAAGCTAAAGATAATTAATAAATTTTGCTGTGTTTCGGCAAAAAAGACAAATCTTCAAATTCCATCCAACAATGGTGAAGGATAGAAATAGTCATAATAATCTGAATCTAAAGGACATAAAAAGGGAAGGAAAAAAAAAGAACCAAATATTATCAAGAAAGATTTACCACAAACCATTGCAATTAAGCAGAGTTAGTTACTCTTCACAAGAAGACAATCAGAATAGGCAGAAACTCCACAATCAGCATAATTAGAAAGAATGTTCTGAAACATTTCTTGCAAGCATTAAAATGTATTATTTGACATAACATAGAGAGAAAACAGTGGAGATTGCAATTTAGGCAGCAATAATGTTATCAAACTTGCAGGTGCTAGAAACAGAATAATGGTTTTTGCCCTAGGAAACTCAATCCCTGAATTGACATAAACATAACTATATAATATCCAATTTAGCTAGCAAGAATGTGTAACAGCATAATTAACAAGTTCTGAAATATTCGCTAATATAAACCATTTGGAATAATAACAAAAACATTACTTAGGTACCAACACGACAAGACTTACCAGTTCTTGAACCAGAGGAATGGAGATCGTCTGCCCAAGCAAACTCAATTGCTCAAGAGTCATCTCAGCATCCCTCAGCGATCCCTCTGACCTGGATGCAATGAGTTTTAGCGCATCCTTATCAATTTCTAGATCTTCTTTAGTTGCAATCCACTGCAAAGCATAGACAATATCTGCATCTTTCAACTTTGGGAAAAAGAATTTCTGGCACCTGGATATGATTACATGAGGCAAAACATCAAGACTCGAACTGACAAGGACAAAAGCCACACGCCTAGGTTCTCGATCAATGACCTTTAATATAGCACTCCAGCAATCAGGAGACAGTGTATCACAATCGTCAAAAATAAAGACTCTGTATTGCGATGGAAGGTGGGAAATGATCATATTGTCAAGTAGCTCCATAATGTTATCAAAGTCAAAATTACTTACTGGACCTACTTCCCTTATATTTCGGCTCTTACCCATGTCATATGCAATGCAAGCATTGCAGTATCCACAAGGCTTAGGCTGATCCAGAGACTGGCAATTTAAAGCTCTGGCAAATATGCGTGCACAAGAGGTTTTTCCTGTGCCATGAGCTCCATAAAACACATATAACAAACCAACTTTCCTTCTAACAACAGCATTTGAAAGAGCTTGCACTACCAAATTCTGCCCCACTAGATCTCTGAAAGTTCTTGGCATGTATTTCTGAGTCAGGTTCTGGTGCCTACTAGTGTGTTGTCTTCTAAATTTGGGTTGAATCTGCTGATCACCGGATCTAGCTTCTGAAGCAAGGTCAGAATCAATTTCACGCTTTAATAGATTATCAGCAAAAATACCCAATTCCCCGGAATAGTCATGCACCCAAGCAGCATTCTCAGCACTTTCCTGAGATCCAGATGCCTCCACTAGTAGAGGCATTGCTTCTGCATCAGATTTAGTCGATGAGCTTGAGTGGTCAGACATCACAGGCATATCAGAAACATCTCTTCCCCGAGGAAATGAACCACCTTTCTTCAATTTTGATTCAGACAAACCACAAGACAAACTCCTTCCAGCAATGTCAAGAAACGATTTCCCCCTGTGATGAATTCTTGACCAGTTCCAAGGAATGCCACACCCATTTCTTGGAGCCCTTGTGACATTCTGCTCGTCATACTCTTCTTCTCCATCCTCCATGTACTTTTGGTGAGCTGAACTTTGAGCTAATGAATTAGAGGCCACAGACATTTCATTTTGAGCCCCATAATCTCTTGAAGTTTTAACAGTTTGAGTTCTTCTCGTGCCTCGAAACTTTCTCCTCTTTACCCTATTCAGTCCAGTACGGTAGCCACGAACGCTAGTTTCTGCTTCCTCGCCAGTTTGCCTATTTTGGCTGAGCTTACCATGAAGAACATCATCACAATCCATGTGAACCTCATTCAATTGGTCAGAGATGGTGTTGAGGAGAGCATCTTCTCTATGCACACCCTTTTGTTTCATTTTCATATCCTTCAATTCAGTATTGCCCAAAACAACATCATGAGTTAAACCATTACCATCTTGTGGAGGCTCGTCGTGGTCACTCTTCAGGTCAATTCCCAAATCCCTTTGACTCAATTCAATTCTCCTATTTCTTCTGCGTTCCCGAACTCCACTCTTGCTACTAAGATCACTCGGTATAGTTGCCCCATCAATTCGAGCACTTGACTCACCAGTAACACCTTCTGCTCTCCGTGAACTAGCTAAGAGCGGTGAACTTCCAGACACCCCTCCTCTACCATCCCTGTGGTGTTCAATGTCCACAGACCGCCTTCCATTAAGCATCATGCCATCCTTTTCTGGTCTTCTAGAAAGAAGATCAACAGCAGAAGGAGAGGCCCAAGAGGGCGGACTTGCAGAAGGATCCTTGAGAGATCGCGACCTCTGAAGGGCAACTAGGTCCCTCATGATGGATTTATCGGCCAACATAGGACTATGCTTATGCATATGGTTCTTCAAATGAATACAATTTGTCAAATGGATATGATTGCGTAGATGATCACCAATATCACCATTCGCATCTTTTAGAATCCGGTCACGAACAGCCCTGGTCATGATCACAACACAAATCGATCCAATAGCAGAAATTTTCGCAGATTAAGGAAAGATACCAGGAAATATAGCATTTTCCTTAGTTATAATTCTCTCTCTCTCTTAAATATTTTTCAATTACAACAAAGCCCATCAAAACCCACCAATCATATCCCACAAAAAAAAGTGTCTCAAAACCAAAATTGAGCTATTTAGATTCCCCCACTACAAACCCATCAACAAGGCAAGCATTTTCACATGCGAAAACAACAACCTCAAGTCCAATGTCGATTCCCCCAAAACCCCGCAAGTGCAAACCCTTTAAGCCAAATCATTTGTGGCTCAAAAACAAAGTCCCCAAGTAACAGCATAATAAAGTACATATACACCAACAAGTTGAAGCTTTTAAATTAAAGCCTACTTCACAGAAAGCAGAATCACCAACTAGTACACCGGAACTTGTGATGGAATAAGCAGAAATCACAGGATACAAGAGAGACCCCTGAACCAATCACAGCTCTGTAATTTGGTTTTTTTTTTTTTTTTTTTTTTGGGTTTTTGTAGACCTAAGAAGAAGATCAATTTGTTTTTTCACAAAATGGCAATGAAATGGTGGGTATTTAAAACGTGATAAACAAGTGAAAAAGGTCGAAAAGCGAGAGAGAAAACGTGAAACAGAGGCAAAAAGAGATCACAGAACACTCGGTTCACCTGAATCAGAGGCAAGCCACCCGTTTCAATCATTAAATCTCAGATCAGATCTCTCTCTCTCACTCTCTCTCTCTCTGAATACACTTTCACATGAACTTCACGGTTAGCCTCTTTCTCCAAAACGATAGAAGATGGTTGTCACCGATATATATATATACAGAGAGAGAGCAAGAGAGAGAGAGAGAGAGAGAGAGAGGATTTGCATAGAAAGCGAATGGACCGAGTATTTTTACAGAGCATATAGAGTGACAGAGAGAGAGAGAGAGAGATTCACAGAAGTTTTAGAGAGAGAATCTGTTGCTGACAGTACTCTCTGAAACAGGACAGTGTGCAAGTAAAACGGTGTGTCCGTTTGTTTGAGCTTGAATAATGGCTTTATTTATATTTTACTATTTATACTATGAAATTAAGGATTTTCGAATTTTGAATTTTGACTGTCCAAAATACTCCAAAATTAGTACGAATTAATTTATTTTTTTCTAAAATAGGGAATGGATATTTTATTTTCATGGGTTGTGCATTTGAAACTTCCCTAGAAAAAAAAAAAAGTTATTTAACTTCCCTAGAAAAAAAAAAAAAGTTATTTGCTACTTCTGAGTACAATTACGTGGTGTCATAAAAAATTTGCGATTAAAAGAAATAAAATTCCATGAAATTTGTGTTAAGTAATTAAAAATAATAAAAATATATATATAATGATTGGTAGAGAGCGTATTGGCATGTAATAGTTTTAATTTAAAAATTAAAAAATTATTAAAAAAATTTATAATTTATATTAAAAAGTTAAATATTCTTTTTTTTTTTAACTTTTTACACTTTATTTTATAAAAAATCAAAAAATTATTTCAAACATACTAAAGGACTGGTTTGACAAGTGTAAAAAAAGTTAAAAAATTACTAAAAAAGTTAAAAAATTATCACTATTCACCAAAAAAATATATAAAAAAATTAATATATAAATATTAAATACAAATCAACTTTTTGGCCTATCAATGTACTGACATCAGGCCAGCTTCAATGAAAGGAAAAAAAAATTACATGTGTACATTCACTAAATTGGATGGTAAAGTTAGGCCCGTAAAGGCCACCATGGGTCCCGTTTTGATAATCTGAACCGTTCAAGATGTAGAACTCGTCTAGTACTATATGTCTATAAAAAAATCATATCTATCGGATATCACTAACTATATGATCAAATTAGTTTTATATAAAAATGGATGGTGTTATAGTTAACAATTGACAAAAAAAACTAACACCATCAGATAGCTATCGATATCCAATCAACGTGATTTTTTACAAGTATATATTTCTCAACGAGTTTTACACATTGAACGGTTCCAATTAGAAAAAGGGACCCGTGGTGGCTCCCACGGACCGAACAACACCGTCCAATCATAACCTTTAAAGAAGACAATCTTTTCCCATGTATTCACCAAGCCGCTGCACTGCCCATCCATATGGCGTACTACACTATTTTCTCCTACACATTTCTTTATATAATTTTTTAATACATATTTTTTCATAAAAAGTCAAAAAATTAACCTAAACATCCATATTTTTTTCCTCAATTTTTTAATCTAAAAAATAAAAATTATACTTATTTAAGACATCTCAAACAACTTCTTTTATCTTATATTTTAATAAAATAATTAAAATAACTTATTTGCAAAGGGGGTTTACTGCACCAAATAATTTTTCTTTCCATAGTGTTTAATGGGTCACGTTGTCTTCTTTTAACGGACAGACAGTGTTAGGTCAGCTACCTACTTTGGCTATACAAGAAAATTACAAATAAAACTATTGAATTAATAATTGTAAAACAACTATACATTTTAGTGTGAATTTGAAATTAGCAAGAAAGTCGTGTTTTTTTCTCGAATTTTGTTGTCTTCAGTATTTTTTTAAAAATTTTGTTAAAAAAATTTACTTTTCAAATTCTTTTAGTGTAGAAAAGTTGAAAAAAAATAAATTTTTTTGAAAAAATTCAAAAATAGTTACCAAAAAACAAGTCAATAAAACTCAATTTTTAAAGCTTTTTTTAGTCTTTAATAAAAATAAAAATAAAAATAAAAATCTAATCCTTCTAGTCAAGTAAAACTTAAGAGAAATTCTAATATACATAATTTCAAAAATGTGTACTATATACACCTCTAGTTATACTATTTTCTTTGTTAGTTATGATCAATTTTCTTATTTAGTTGTAATTCATGAGTTCCTTTATTATATTTCAAGTTGTATTTAGTTATGATTTTTTTTTTAAGTTATGATTCAAAATTTAAATTATGTCATTTTTTTTTTAAAGGTACATATGACACATACACATTTTAAAAGGTGAGCACCATAGTATTTTCCAAACCTTAAGGTGTTGAGCTTTTTGGGGAAAAAAAAAATTAATCACTAAAAAAAAAAAAAAATCAACAAAGAATCACTAATCAATCTAAGGCCTCGTTTGGGAACAGGCTATTTTAGTAACTTTTTGACTTTTTGACTAAAATATGAGGTGAAAAAAACTAGTATGTTTGGGATAACTTTTTAACTTTTTACGAAAAGATGTGCAAAAAGTAGAAAGAAAAAAGAATCTTTAATTTTTTTATATAAGTTGTTAGCTTTTTTATTTTTTTAATAACTTTTTGACTTTTAGGCTAAAATAACCACTTGCCAAACAAGGCCTAAGCAACACTCAACAAATTAGAAACTTATATATTGTATTCCAACTTCTAAGGTCATGTTTGTTTGGGCGGACTGGATTAGCATTCCCATGACTAATAGTCCTACGACTACGAATTCGTTGGATTATCTATCCTATCTTATTTTTGACTTTTAGGCTAAAATAACCACTTGCCAAACAAGGCCTAAGCAACACTCAACAAATTAGAAACTTATATATTGTATTCCAACTTCTAAGTGTATTAATTAACAAATTTAAAATAATTATATATATTTTTATAGGTACTTTTATTTTTAAAAAAATGTCCTATTTTTTCAAATTTAATAAAGTTTAATCGTGAATATTAATATATCATGTGTTAAGGGTTAATAAACAATATATTTTGTCTTATATCTTTTGTTTTTTAAGGTCTAAACATTTTGTCTTCTATCTATTGATTGGTAACACATTTCTAAAATTTAATATTTAAATTTAGTAACGTTACTGCTGTCAGAAAGATATTAAATATTAACCTAGTTGGTACTACTCTCCCTATTCATTGAAAGAGTAATACTAAAAACTTACCTTGCTCATGTACTGCTTGCAATTGGACCTAAAATAGGAAAAAATGTAACCAATTTTTTTTTACTTTTTTATTTTAGAAATTAAAAGAAGGGTTAGGTTTCTCTCCAATCCGTAATTAGATTGAAGCATATTTTTAGGACCGTGAGGCCTCACCACGAGTTCCGTTTCAATAATTCAAAACCATCAATAAATAGAACTCGTCAAGTATTTTATCCCTATAAAATATCATGTTGATCAAATATCAATAGTTACTTGATTAGATCAGATTTCTATCAATAGTCAATATAATTTTCAAAATAAATTGTTGATAAAAATCTAATCCAATCAAATAGCTATCGATATCCGATCAACGTAATTTTTTGTAAAGATAAAGTACTTGACGAACTCTATACATTGACGGTTCAAATCATCTAAACAAAACCCATGTTGGGCCCCATAGGCCTAACAGCGTTGTCCAATCCATTTATGGACTGGAGACAAGCTGCCCTCTTAAAAGAATAATGGATTGTTTTGAAAAATGGGTTAAAAATTAATTTTTTGAATATTTTTGAAAAATCATATAAAAAAATAGAGAGGTGATGAGAACCAAAACAGTAAGCTAGCTTTTAACCTCTTCCCAACAGAAAAAGCTTTTAATTTTTTGCAAAAGAATTCTTAAAAATTCAGAAAACAATTTAAGAGGAAAAATATGATAATGAAGTTTTGTAACAATTTGCTGAATTTGTTTTCATATTTTTGTTTTTTCATGTTTATGAGAACTGAAAATAAAACTATAAATACATCCTAATTATCGAGTGCTTTCAAAACCAGGAATTTCAAATGTTTAATAACTAAATTAGATGTTTTAAGATGTTGACATAACTTGTTACTAAATTAGATGTTTTAAGATGTTGACATAACTTGTTAGCAAACAAATAAATAAAGGACAAGTACTTAACCAACCATCATAATCATATTTACATATACACAAAAATAAATAGATAAATAAAGAGAATAAGCTTTTCTTTCATTAGTGATCCAACTGGAGAGGTGTGTGCCTTTTAGTTTGTGATCTATACCGTTCATTATGTGAGATTTATTGAATATATTATTTATACAAAAAAAATTAGATTGATCGGACATAATAAATGGACAATCTATTCTTAAAATCATTTTGTTCCCATCTTTGTAAAATAAATATGATCCAATTATATGGTTATCAATATCTAATTAATTTAATGTTTTTTACATAAACAATTTGGAAAACTCATCAATAGACATATGTACCCCTGTTATGTATTTTTGTGGGATCTGTTAGGCATTTTTATGGCAAATGTTATATGTTTTCTTGATAAATTTATGACAATTTATGATTCAAAAATAAAATTACGTATTTTTTTGATAATCTTACACATTTTGTTTATACATTACCACAAAAATGAGTACTATTACAACAAAATGAGTAACTTCATTTCTGAATCATAAATTATCATAATTCTATTAAAAATATATAACATTTATTATAAAAACATGTAATATATATTACAAAAATACGTAACAATGATAACTTCCCAAACAATCTATTTAGCAGACCCTAAAAACAAATGATTTGGATCCTCAACATATGCCCAAAGTCAGCCACGAGGCCCAAATATCTCTCCTGTTAAATCACGAATTAAATAAGCGAAAAAAAAAGAAAAAAAAAAATCATAGTGTGGACTCGCATATCAAGACAGCAACCCTTAGGTAGTGTTTATTGGAATTGTTTGGTTGAACTATAAATATAATGACAAATCAATTGCAATGAAATCATCTTTCATTATGTTAAGAGAATTATCATTTTATAAGAAAGTTTAAAGAATTATTATTTCATTTAATTTTGAGCTAGTTTAGAAAGATGGTTGAAAGTCATTTTTTAATTTTTAACTCATTTTTAGTCACATTATTTCTCATATTTTTTATACGTTTCTTCAAAAAAAAAAATTAAAAAATTAATTTTTAACCATCTTCTTAAAAAATCAAATAGTAATTCCAATCTCACTAATGTTTACTTGGATTTTAGTTTCAAATATCAAAATAAAAAGAAAAACTTAAAAGGGAAAATAACATATTAGTTGAAAGATGAAAAAAAAAA